CGTCGGAGACGAATCAGCAGCAGCAAGTGTTACTATTTCGGCCCGTGTTGGAAGTTTGGCTTGAAGGGTCTCTGGTGTACTCTTCTCTGCAACAATACAGTCTTCCTTCTCTTGCCGACAGTTCACCACCTGCGAACGGCCTTAAGAAGCCGCAGCAGCAGGAGCAGCATCAGGAGCTTGAGGCTCAGGGAATCTGCTGTTGCCGAGCTCGCCAGCTGCCGGTTTACAACCCCGAAGAAGGAAGCCTCAAGTTCGATATTGATGGTGTGGAGGCATGCGGCGATTTGCTATTGCGATTGCTTCATGTCGTTCCGGAGCGGCACGAGCAAGAGCAGCAGCAGCGGCAAGATTTTTGGTGCTGCAGCAATGCAAGCTGCCGCAGCAGTTCCCTGTGGGGTCGCAAGGTGCCTATGGCCCGTGCAGCTTTCCACACAGCATCTGTCAGTACGCCTGGATGCATTTCATTTTCTAAGTCGGAATTAGATGGAGGACCAATGCTTGCTGCGGCCTTTCCTGACGATTGCTTTATTGCTGCCTTTTTTGACACTGTTGAGGCCTCTGAGGCCTGCTTGCCAGGCAGCGCCGCAGCAGATACAGAGAACTGTGCAACTGAAGCAGCTAGTGCTGCAGCTGCAAGAGAAACACGCCAGCTGGTTGAGCGAGTCCGACAAGAGGGCCTTCAGTGGCGCAAGCTCCGGCAGCGGCAGCGTGAGCAGAAACAGGAGGAGCAAGAGAAGGGTGAGCAGATGGCTGTTCCAGAACGAACCGCCGAACTTCAGAGAGGCTTGCAATCAAGAGCGAAGCCTGTAGACGGGCAGGTGACTAAAAAGGAACAGCAGGAACAGCCGGGTCATCAATCGGGAGGAGGGTCACCCAGCTGCTTTGACGTTGAGGATTGGGACTCTGGAGGGGATTTTTCAGCAGCAAGGGTCGCAACAGCTGCCGATAGAACCGCAGCAGGAGCACTCACTGCAGGAGAAAACACTGCATCTAGCCGTGAAGTGACGGCTGCAACAACTACCACGGGAATGCTATCACCTTGGCAGGAGCAGGGGCAGCTGCAGAAGGAGTTGGAGAGCGAAAGCGACATAAGTTGGGGCTTGTCTGATGACGAAGGAGAGACATGTCAAACTTCGTCCTTCACTGTCCCTGATTCTACCGTTTCTCCCCCCAATTCGGCGGCCTCCCTCCCTGTCAGTTCTGAGAAGAAGTCTTCATTGGCAGGACAGGAAGGGAGCGCACACATGCAGACCTCTCCTGCCGCTGATGGCCGAAATGCACGAAGTACTGCCTGCAATGAAGACGAAGATGATGAAAAGCGCGGCGGCAGCGGCGTCACCGCTGCTGTTTCTGCCGAAGAGCTAGTGAAGACACCATCAGCACCAGCAATAGGATCAGCAGCCTCAGAAATGTCAGCAGCATCCGTGGCGGATTTGTTGCTCGGTGTTTCTAGTGGAAGTGAGGAAGAGGGCGGACTGCCTGTTCTCGGTTCGCGCAGTCGTGGCATCAGCAAGGCCAGCAGCACTAAGAGTAACACGAGAGGCCACCCCACAATGCCTAGACGGGACAAAAATGTTGCAGTAGCAACAACAGTGACAGCAACACAAGTCTCTGCAACAGCAAATGCTCCAGGCTCCGACGGAATCGACTGGCGAGAAAGCAGCAACGGCGAATGGGTTACTGTTGCCTCGCAGGAATCGTCTCCCGTCCTACTAGCCTCACCATGCCTTACTTCACGTGACCCAGGGTGCAGCAGCAGCAACCGGACACTCAGCAGCAACAGTAGCAGTTCTAGCGGCAATAGCAGTGGATGTATCTCCCCGAAGCGAACTGCGGACAGTTTGTTCGTGCTTCTGGAACAGCAGCAGCAGAAGGCACAGGAACAGAGGCCTCCACAGTCGGAACGCCTGATCATACAGCGGCGGCAGGAGCGACTTCGGCAGCTACAGTTGCTTCAGAAGGAGGAGCATGAGAGCCTGCCGAATAAGGGCTCCCCATAGTTGGAACAGTGGACCAAAGGCCACAAACTGGAAGACGGAGACAACAAACAGCGCATGAAGGCCTGATGTCAACAGAGCCATACTTTTTTTTTTAGAAATAAGCGCTCGAAGTGCACAGACAGCTCATTTTCTCATTCCCTCAAATTTTCATGCCTCTTGGGCCTCGTGGTTCCCATCTGCACGGACAGTTTCTTCTTCTTGCTCTCTTCCACTTGTCGTTTTCCTTTTTCGGCCCCAGGTGTAACCGCTAGATACTTGTTCTCTCTCGAGACCATGATTGTTTTTTTCGTTCCGTGCCACTCGTGGCATTAGTGTACCGTCATCCGTCCCCTCCGGTTGAGCCGGTTCCGGGCAACGTACACAGAAGCAAACTTCGGGGACAGGTGCAGACTTACAGCGCTACCTTACGGCGTGCCATTATCCCGCGCAGGGGATCAGGAGATCTCAGGGATGCCATAAGCGCACCAAAGCAGCTCTCTCAGGACCACCAGATGATTGCGCAGGGTCATACGGGCCCCTATATGCATGTAGCTTTTATCCGGAGTTATGTCATGGAGGTTTCGGTTCTCGGATCGGTGGAGCATTGGTTGTAGCGGTCGCAGTCGTTTTTCGTGCATTTCGTCACCCCAAAACTATCAATTCCTTAAATAGCGCTTCACGTGCTGCGCAAAGTTTTTCTGCTGAGGCAGCCGCTGCAGCAGCTGCTTCACATGCAGGGATCAGTTTGTCTTTGGCTGAGACGCCTCACTTTGTGTGTCAATTTTGTGACCTGATGCGGGGCCAATTAGACAACTAGCAAGCTAGGTGCGTTAGACTGTGGTGTTCTTGACCACGCTACCACGCATTTCAAGGCAGCTGGCCGGGCGATAAAGCAGCCTTTCCTGCTGTTGCTAAAGCTATTTCTGCTACTGCATCTGCTGATCTGTACGACTTAGTGTGCTTCTTGTTGGATGATGATCATAATTACTGCAGTGAACGCAACACTGGAAAGCTTTCAGTGAAGCTGTTCTAATGTTTCACCTAGGCCCTAATTAGAACTGCAGCAATTAAGTGGTTCCTTGAAATGGTCAAAGTCGCATGAAGCTCTATTTTCTTGGAGTTCTCCTTCCATTTCCTCCAGGCATTATCGCAGTTCTTTTCGAAGATGAGTCATTTCTTTCTGGTTTATGCCGTAGGGGAAGTGTCCGCAACAGCAGAAATCGAACACTGCTTTCGCACAAAGCGCGCAACGTCCACCGCAGCCCTTGGCTAGTGCATCTGCACCATGGTAGCAGCTTTGCTCGGAAATACCTTTATTGCGTTGTTGGACAAATGCGCTGCAAATACTTCACCGGAAGTGCATCAAACGCAAAACTTGGCGTGTGCCTCTTTACTAAAAATCAGACTTCAACGTGGAAGGGCACTTTCGTAGATGCGGGAACTGGTCACATTCATTTATTGAATGGCATTCGAACAGTGTAGCGAATAGATGACACCCGTTTCTTACCTGTGCCACCAGCAACCCATTACCAAAATATTATCCATTGCAGGGTTGGATGCAAGGCCAAAAGGTAATTTTTAATTTGAGTATGGCAAGCTAGTCCAGCAAATTTTGTATTCAGGCGTTTCCTAATGAGCTGAGTCATTTCATGGTAGCCAGCTTTAAAGAATCCTGAATTGTTCAGGTGGCAAAGTTAGCGCTTTGGCCTATGCACACAGCAGGCGTGTAAGGCGTCTGGCTTTCTTGACCATGACACGTAAATCCTAGCCAAATATAGAATAGAGTCTGCAGCGGCCGTGATTATTCAGTTGCTCCGCTCAGTACATTAACTGTATGGGTTCCCCCACTGAGGCACTGAGCAAATAATTCAAGTTGAGTGTAGTCTCCAATCCCATTTGCAGCTGAAGTCTATTTAATCGTGCAAGACGCGTAACTGAGACTCTTCAGCTGCTAAACCTGCAGCTGCGACTCTTTCTGCATTTACACGATAACGGGCAATGCAGCAGAAGCCCATTCGAGTTCTTGTGGTCTTGCTGACTACAGGGGGAGATTCTTCAAGCACCTAATGATGAGAATGATACACATAATGAAAATTAAAAAGTGAAGGCCATGCTGTTCTTCTTTTCGAGTGGGATGAAACATCTCCAGCATTCACTGAATAAAAGCTGGTTTGGGGTTGGCATGTTCGTTGAAGTGTGGAGATTTGACGACTGGGTTGTTGCTTCTGCAAAACTTCATAGATTTTTTTTTAAATTGTAAACGAAGTATAATTTTTAATATAGTAGAATGCGCTGAGACTTCCAACTCCATTCCTGACCACACCACCATGGTTGTGGGGTCACTTCTTCCACCGGAAATGACTGTCATGTTCTTTGCGATTGGGTAGTCCAAGAAACTGTTCTTGCTAGCAAATCACTGTTGACTTATACCTTGGTGAGGCTCTGGATACACTCCTGGTGCTGTCAATGACTCCTGAGGCCAACTGCTGTACAGCAACAGGTTTACGACCGAGCTTTTGCGCGGACTTTTTGCCCTCTTTGTGGCAGCGAGCTTTAGTTCACTGGAATTATATATAAAATAATTGGAAATGTTTTTTCCGAGTTTTTTTCTGCACTAAGTGCTGGGATGTACGCTCTACCGGTTTCACTGTTTTTTCCATTAATTCTGGAATTCATGGAGCAGCTGCCGAACCAGTGATCGATTCTCTGACCCTGCCATTTAGGTGAACTCTTGATGCAGCAATACACCCCCTCATACCCACAAGTTGCCTTACGCCCGCATCTTGCGCTTACTCCGGACGCCTGAGTCCACCGCTATAGGGTGTTGTGCACTGCACTGTCGACAGCAGTTCGTCTCTGCCTGGGAGCCCCGCCAGGTACATAAGAAGCTCTCAGGGCTGCGATTCTTTTGCTTTTTGTGGAGGAATGACCCCAGAGGAGTGAAGTGCAGCGCAACTCCCGGTTTTTCTGGCTGCGTCGCTTCCTGGACAGCACTGCAATACAGTGCCTACTCTGTCGAACATGTCTTCTTCCGGCAAAGACAAGGCACGTCTTGTAGATCCTTTTAGTGAGAACAATGACCAGATGCTTCGCCGGCTCATTGATGAAGGCTTTACCAGTATCAGCCACGGGAAAAACCGAGTTAACCTCATGCAAGCTGGCACTGTAAGTATCAACGCCGAGCTAGGCACAACATGCATTGTGAGCTCTCTTTGAGAATTTTCGCCCTCATTTGTTATTCTTTTTTAAACTTGTGCAGTTGCACGAGGCGAAGTGACTTCAAGGAGCTCAATGTCGTATACAAGAAACCTAGATCGTGCACGATTTTGTTTAGCTTGCTTGCATAATACATGCAAAACGTCTAATTACTTTTTCGCATGATAGATGGCAGTGTAATTGTTGCAGCTGCCATGTTTGGCTGGCCCTGGGGCAACATGTTCAACTATTTGTTCATGCGATCCAATTTTTGCGTGTCTACAAACACATATGAAACTTACAGGGCTTAGAATTTGTTTTCAAGAGGCTTCAGCCAGTCGTACCTCTACCTGACCGCGAGTGGTACTCCGCAGGTGCGCTTGCTTTTGCTTTATGTGATGAAGGGATCAACAGCCGTAGAGTTCAGGTCAAAAGAGACGCAAGAATCTGTTCAACTTTTCCCTAAAGTATATTTCTTCTGAGACAGCTTTCATTTGGTTTCCCACTTGCTCATTAGTTTTTAGGAACTATGATGTGGACCGAGACGGCGAGATCGACCGCGAGGCGTTTGAAGACATAATCTTGCAGGTCAGCTTCGCGGACAACGCTTGTGACCTTTTATTGCATGGGGTTGCGAGTGCGTCATTTGTTCGTTATGAAGGTTTCAGTGTCTTCCACGGTCAAAAACGAATATGCATATGCCCATTTTCCGTCGACTTCATATTTCTACTACTTATGCTGCCGTATTCTTGCCTGCAGTACCACGCACATCATTACGAGAAGGTTTTTCAAAACAGCAGACGTCCAGGCCAAACGCAAGTGAATAAAACACATTCTTGACTTTAAAGGAATCTGTTGGGTCGCAAAGTCGCCATTGACTGGAAAGATTTACAACGTGCCGCCGCCTCTTATTTTTTGGGCTAGAAGTCAACTATTCTGCAAATATCATAATGCGGGAGAACGGCAGCTGCAAAGAAAGCACTCTAGCGACGATATTTAGCATTGATGCACACTAGTGCCCATGGGCAGGACATCAAACATCGATATATTTCAACACATGCATGTGAATAACCCCGTAAATGAGCGTAATGGCCGGCCACACCAGCGGGCCGTAAAAACACAAACTTGGGGCCAGTTCCCCTTTTCCGTACAGGTGTCTGGGCGCCTCCATGCGGACGCACCGCACGCATCGGAATCATGTAAGCTCACGCTTCCGGGTCCTGCGCGTGCTTCATCTGACCAATGCGTCCAGGTTAGTGTAGACCTTTCAGGTGCTACCATCAGCGGTCTATTTCTTTGAGGCTTTAAAATTGCATTCGGGGAAGCAAGCCCGTTGTATATGAGGGAAGCCTTTGAAGCAAAAGCGTGTAAAGTTACCTTTTAGTGGGCAAGGCTAGCTGAAGGCATTAACTCATAAACTTAGACATATCGGCTCACTAAAAACTGCCTCGGGATTACTGTTTCAAAGCCTTGCCAGCAACATTAACACTAATACTTAAGCACAAAGTACAGATTTCCTCACATAGCTTCGTTACGTTTATAGCAGTAGATCTGGCCATTACTATCCCACCGTGTAGAAAGACTACCCCGCGCAACTGAGGCAGCCAATCCAGCTACCCAAAGTTTCTTTGAATCACCAAGAATATAGCAGCCGGGCTGTAAAAGACTTCTTAAGTGATTGTTTAGAAGGGCCAGAGGGGTTAGTGAAGTAGTAAGTTGCTGTGCTCTTTGACATGGGAGCGCTAGCGAAGCTTCTGTTTTGTGAGGGGTCTTGTTGTGGGTGCAGCTTGCATCGTACATTATGTTTCCAGCGCATCACGGCGTCTGTCAGGTTTTTAAAGATTACCAATTTGGCGACGTTGTTGGGAAGGGTAGCTTTGGCAAAGTCCAGCTGGTGACGCACAAGAAAACAGGCGCGAAGAGAGCTTGCAAAACTATTGGTAGGACGGGCTGCCCTTCCTCTTTTCTCGATTCACATTTAATTGGCTATGCTCAAAGGCTGCGAGCTGGCCACAGTACTTATTGCATCATAGATCTCCGTAGAAAGCCGCAAGCCGCCGTTTCCCCGCACTTTTCAGTACTGAGATGATGAGAAGCCCACCTACTGAACAAGTTCTCTAAGCTTATTAGTGTCCTTTCGCAACCTATCTTTGTGTTCATGCTCGACGCAGCAATCCAGTCACCGGAACAGTGGAAGCTTATTAAATCCGAGGTGGAACTACTGAAAGCGTTGAATCACCCCAACATCATGAAGGTGACCTGTTGTTAAATATCTAGAGAACAGCTGCAATTCCAATGTGCCTTGGATTGTCGCTTATTTATTAGTGTAGACCGCATGAGATTGTTTTCATTTGCTAGCATACGTGCTGCCTTTTAACAGCTCTTTGAGACGTATCAAGATGGTTACACCATTTATCTTATCATAGAGCTCTGTAAGGGCGGGCCACTGTTCGACCGCATTGTTCGGCACTACGAGGTGATGCGAAGTCCACTTACAGAGGAACAGGTGACTACTTAATGTTTCTACGTTGCTCCTGTTTTGCAGCTAAATGAGATAAAAACGCGTAATGCGAGGAAAGCATCAAGCGTACCAACGATAAAGCAATGACTAGTATGCCTTTTGAGACGACTCAGTTAGCCTCCTAGTTTGGAGTGCACAGGCATAGTCTTGTGCTCGTGGCGACATTTGCGATTCATCGCTCTTACCACATTGCCACGAGATGGTTAATTTGTCAATGTCGAGCTTTCATTAGATAAGGCAGCCTCGGTAGTGCATTTCTTTCCGAAAAGGCTACTTATGGTTTCCTACTCAGAGACTCTGCGCCTGCAGTTCTCTACGCAGTGTTTCGACAACCGAGTTCTTGAGCTTTAGCAAGCTCGAGGTTCGCATTCTGCAATGCCTTCTGCTTCTGCTTAGTTTTGATTTCGCAGGTCTGCGTTTGGATGAGGCAGATCTTGTCCGCGTGCTCTTACTGTCATGAGAAAGGCGTTGTTCATCGAGACTTAAAGCCAGAAAATATACTTTTTGTAGATGTGCATGCTGATTCACCTCTCAAGGTATGGGGTAAAGGCTTATGAAATAATATCTCTGGCAGCATAGACAACGTGAAAGCAAATTTACTTATCCTTGATAAGCGCGCTCCTTCGGAGGTGACTTGCATTTGGCGAGCTGAGTGAAATTTGCAGATAATCGATTTCGGGCTCAGCGGCACCCTCAATCGGCTTCGCGAGACGGCCACGGAGGTTAAAAGGCGGTTCGGAGTTAGCGCTTCTATAGCGAAGCTGTTTCCAATAATGAGCGGGAAAAATATCATCCCATGGTACTTGCTCTACTAGTTGCGTCTTCAACATGTCATGCACATGCACTCAAGTTTCCTTTTTTTGGCATGATATTGGTGCCCCTGCCTTTAACTCCGCCACTCTTATTTCCTGTGTCTTGCCTTCATTGGTTGTCACTGCGGCCATAAACTGTTTCTTGGCATATGCTTGCCCCTTTGCACGACTGTTTAGTTTTGTAGGAGACATTTAGTGAGTCTGGCATGCGTCACCAGTGCATTGTGCAGTTGACTGGGAATGGACTCCAAGCGACAGTGCTTTTCTACGCTGATTCGGCTGGCCGCACAGCGTGGTCGGAAACTCATGGTTCCTTTTCTCCTCCTGTGTCTATATTTGTAGGTATATTAAGAGAGTTCGCATGCAACGTGCAGGAACGCCACACTACATGGCCCCAGAAATGATCAGAGGGCAGTATGATGAAAAATGCGATATATTTGCAGTTGGCATCATAATGTTTCAGGTACGCCTGTAAGTATTCGAAGCTTGCTGGTGCGCAGCTGCAGCAGGAACCATGAAATATTATCATATAACGCACGGAGGTCTTCCAAGCAGGCTTGCAGGAGGCCAAGTGCTTAGCTTGTCTGTGGCTGGCGCATATTTTCGAACAGCTTCTCTCTGGCTACCACCCATTCTTTATCCCTGGAGTAGACAACGAACATACCGCGGAAAACAAGATTCTGCAAGATGATCCATGCCTTAACGGTATCACAGAACCGAGGGGACGCTGCAGCATGCCAGACCTACTGAGTGCAAATAGAGACAGATTATCGAATGTCAAGCTATCTTCTGCTGGGTAGAAAGACTGTTCATGTTGCAGGGGATGTGTGGCAGTGCGTCTCGATGCAAGGAAAGGATCTGCTTAAGAAGCTAATTCAGAAGAGTCCTCGAAAACGCAGTTCTGCACAGGCGGCTCTCGAACATCCATGGTTCACGTTAGTCCCTTGTCGCACGGGCCAATGTCTGCCCTTAAGCGTTTCATTATATTTTGTGTGTGGCTCTAGAGCAACCAGTGCAGATGATACAGTGGAACTCGGGAAGCTAAAGCACTGCAGGAGCTGCTGTATTGAGGGGATGAAGAAAGGCGGTTGTGTATTTCAAGACGCTTTTCCATTGATTGATTTGCGTGTTTGCATACTTTCCGGTTCTGTCGGCTCGGTTGCTTGTATTCGCCCTCAATGAGTCATTGCGAGCTTTGCTGAAGCCGGCCCATCTCAACTGCTTGCGCTTGCTGTAAAGCTTTTTTGATGACTGTTTTGTTTGCTGTTTTGTTGAGGTGCGTTCTTCATGGCATTTTCTCCGTGAATGTTTGCCATATTTGTCAGGCTGGTGACAACGCGCTGCGCATGCGTTTCACAGTTAACCCCATCTGTCTTTGAAGGTCTTCGATCCTGGCAGAGCCAAAATAGGCTCAAACAAGCCGTGCTTCAGCTGTTGGCCAAAGAGCTTAACGAGACAGATATAATTCAGCTGAGAAAGACGTTTGAAGCATTTGACAGAAATGGCAGAGGAACAATTAGTGTAGATGAGCTAAAACAGAGTAAGTCCCTGTTTCTTCCACATTCGCATGGAACGCGCAGATACATAAAGGCGAATGAACTTCTGAGTGGATTTATTTGTATATACTTTTTTCAGGCATGCATGACGCCGGTTACACAGTAATCGAGAGCGAGTTGGAACAAATATTCAAGTCGATTGATGCGAGCCAGCAAGGACACATAGGTATTCCTCAAAAGCAATGCGTAGAGCAAAGGGATGCTGCTGCTGTACTGGACTTTAAGCTATGGGTTGAACATTTGAACTTGCGCTCAAGTAGCCGAAGTGAAGCCTACCTTAGAAATATTTGTGGCGATCTTTCTTCCGACTGTTTCTCCAAGCACTGTATCGTGTATCTCGTTGGTTTGCCTGTCCCTGAAGGGTACAACGAGTTTATATCCACTCTCCTTGCAAGACGTGTAGTAGTGCGAGAGGAGCAGCTAAGGGAAATATTTGACAAATTTGATAAAAAGGGAGAAGGGCGCTTGACTTTGGACACGTTGCGGGGGATCCTAAAGTGTTCCAAGTAGGTTTAAGTAGAGTACATCTGTTGACCGAAGAAAACCCAAACCAGATGTCACAGATAAACACAAAAGAGGAATGACCTTCATGCAACATCGCCACTAGTACTATTAAAACTGCCCACCTATTTGAGGTGCGGCATTTCACTATCGCTCATGCGGCGGTACGTTGCGGGATGCAGCTACGGTGTTCTGAAAGACGAAGAACTACAAATGATATTCGCAGAAATCGACAAAAATTGCGACGGGTGAGCCTTATTGCTCTCTTCTTTCCTGTTGGAAAAAATTGCCGAACATTAGCTAGAAGTAAACTCACTGTGAGTATAGGCTGCGTAGTGCTCTACAGTCTTTGGCATTTTTAACTCTTCAAACTCACACTGAGCTGCCGATGCGGAATGAGTATGTATAGAGTTGTGACTAATTCTCACAATGTTGATGGTGCTGTGCAGATATGTCGATTTTTATGAATTCTGCGACTTGATGACGGCAGCGGACTGAAGCATTCTGTGGACCAGCGGGCCATCTTGCGTGTTTGGGCTTTCCCGTCCTCCAATGCCCCACCAGCACTGGGAGGGCTTGTTCACCTTCTTATCGGATGCTGCAATGAAGAGGTCTTCCAAACAATTCAGTTTGCATCTGCTAGTCTTCTTGGTTAGGCATTCCATGGGTCTCAACTCAAGCGACTTCCTTTTCTACTTGCGATGCTCTTTTACATGACGTCTGCCTTTTTCATAAAGTGCCATGAAGCAGGAATTCAGCTGTTTGCCTGTTGCTCATGAGGGAAGAAAACTGAAGACAGAATGTTCATTTACTCGTCTCAGTAGCTGGTCCCTAATGCCTCCTTAGATACAAAAACTGTTCATGCCTCTCCGCTTAGCGTAGCTATCAGGACTCTAGAATGTTGGCACGCAAACACTGTGCAATCTCCCAGCTGTTTCTCTACAATTGTATTCATCAGCCTCTTGTCTCCTGCAGCCTTGAAACAACGGGTGCACTCACATGAGTCCTCATATTCACAATCTTCTCTCTGCTGAAGTTTTTCGCGAAATTTTGACTGAATGCCCTTGATAGCTGTCACGCCTACTACGCGGCATTAGCAATTTAATAGTATGCTACAGGGCTGTGCAGTACAATCTGCACAGCCCTGTAGCATACTATTAAATTGCTAATGCCGCGTAGTAGGCGTGACAGCTATCAAGGGCAGATTCCAACAATTAACTAACGTTATACTTGTGAAAGTGTGGACTTTCGTAGTTTTGAAAGAGGTCTCATAAATTCATGCCATCACGGCAAACATGGGAAATACCCTACCGTCACTGACAAAGGTAGGAAATATAAATGTAACCAGTGCGTACTACACCAGCTAATCAACCTGTGACTATGCTGGGTGTGTTAATGCAAAATATAATTTTGTGAGCTGCCGTCTAACTTCGATTCCGCTCACATTTGGTTTAATATGCTAAAACTGTGGCTTGCAGCAACAGCAGGGAAAAAAGAGATACCTGCTGGAACCACCAGGGAGCTAGGTTATCCTCGAAAATGCACTTCGTGCTCTGTGTCTTGATAGCAGACTTGTAGATGCTATACAACCTCAAATACTAGAAAAGGACTCCTTGTAGTTAGGATTCTGGGTCGACAATCGGGTCGAAACCCTTGTATCTGCATATAAGGAGAGAAAAACAATTTTTTCCTCCATTAAAGCCTCTAAACAAGCAAAATATGCCCCAAATTTCCCAAATGAACGCATATACCGATGTGCACAGTAATGGACAGAGGGAAGAGGGCCTCAAGTCTCTTATAACATTGGACGCACCTGCGAGATGCAGTGATTGCTTTGGAAATGCGCGTTTCTAAGTGCGCTGGGTCATAGTATAGCATTGACCCGGGAGTAAAGGAGGTGCCATCTCCTAAGCGATTGTCTGCAGTCGTGGAAAACAAAAAAGAGCAATAAAGTATCCTTCTAGTTTCAAAATAATTTGAAATTGGCAGAAGGTGTACAACTAAACGAAGAAGACAGTCTGCTAAGTTGCTATGGGCTGGCTTGTGAAAACTTGCATTAAGAAGCTTTTTGGGCATTGTTACTGCACCTTTTGTGCCTATTTTTCAGCATGGATATATGCGTCAGGCAACAGTTCTCCTTATAAGGTCGCCTAATTATATGCTGTTTTGCTAGTCATTGTGTCGCAAGTAAACGGAACGTCTGTTGAATTCAAAATCATTCATGAACGTCGATTTCGCGCAAGGTGCGGCCGCTTACCGACAGGGAAGAACCACAAGAGAGGGTCTGGGCCAAACGCATCCGTGAAATTTTTTCGGAATCCATGGGACCATGTCACCTAAAAAGTTACTCCAAAGGAGCACAGCGAGTTCTGTGACTGGAGGCACTTCTCACATGACTGGACTATATTCCGACAGCAGGAAATGGACTTACATGCATGAACACAAATACACAAAATCACTTCTGCCTTATCTAAAAGTGAGAAGTATAGTGCATCTAATATATGAGCTTGCATCTTCATTCATCTATATGCGCGTCATCTATCTAGTTCCTGTAAAGGTGGGAAAATGGTAAGGTCTGCACATGCGTGTGCTTTTGTATACCATGTATATATATCATTGCATCCTGCCGCACAACAAGTTATTCTCCTTGAGGTGAGTATAAAGTCATACCTCCGGCGGAGTGTCGAAAGGCGACTTTCGGAATTGTTTCTCGCAAAACTCAATCGTCGTGACGGCATTGGACACCAAGCTGAGGGTCAAAGGATGCACATGAAACGTCACATATACACGAACTGGTTACTCACCATATAATTTATTTGTTTGATATGTAGACAAGGCAGCTGCTGCAGTGCCACGCACTTTGGCACAAGTCAATTGCAAGCTCATGACTATCCTATTATGTCATGTGCTATCCTATTATGTCATGTGCAGTGCTGGTTCTCACTGAATTCCACTAATGCACGCAATGCGGTTTGCTCAAGAACTACAGGTGCCTGATAATCGCCAATTCGTGAGAACATGCTACGTTTTTTGATAATTCGAGCAGCGGCAACGATCTGACGGGGGAAAAGACGGGAAAGGACTTACTAGGAATGAAATATGAGGAAGCCGGAAATGAGAACGCCGAGGAAGATATCCAATGTTTCAGCGAAGAGCAGCATGAAGACCCTTTCAAATGATGCCTATGGCAGCACACAGTAAAGCCATTATTATTACTGACATTTTACAATAGTCTCAAACCCACGCTGCTTCTTTCCAAAACTTTTGTGTGCTTCGACCTTCCGAAAAGGTGTAGCACCTCTTCTCCCTTGCACTCTTGGTGCCTAAATTCAAAACTTCAAGCTCTAAGTTTGCACCCGCAATGCAGAGACCCTGTTTGTAGAAAGAATACAAAGAATAGCTCTTGTTGACGCCTCTGGGTCATTGTGTATTTTTCGCTGGTTACCTCTTCGCTTTTGATAGCTCGCTTGACGGATACCAACATGGTGACAGCCACGAAGACAGCCAGAATTGCTCCCCACAGCAGCGCGAGCATAAAGAATTTGTGGTTTCCCCAGCCAACGCAGTTGAAGATCCAAGGACAGTGATGGTCCATTTTAAGGACGCAAGATCGACACACACGACAATGGTGAGCTCTATCTGGCTTCCACTGGCAACACCACTTGCATGCTCGCCGCCCGCCACTCTTCTTGGTCTCCTGCAAATAAACTCAGAAAGTGTACAAGGCTTGGAGTAGGAAACTGCAATCAAGGACAAAGCAAAGTTCAAAACCTCCATGGTAGGTTTGCTTACTCTCCACATATTGTGAAATCGCTGGTGTTCCGGTACAAGTTTGACACAAGTTTCTTCGGCTGCTGCGGCACTGTAACTACTAGTATCTATGTTTATGCTTTATAAATCTTGTTTTCTGGTTGTGAGGAATGGTACTGTGATCTATGTTGACGAACAATTACAGTTGTGGTGCTTGGCTGCTCTGAGCCATCCTCCTTGAAGCTCCATTGGTCTGTCTTCGGAATCGAACCTGCTGGAGTGGTGACGGCTAGCCAGTAGCTCAGCAAAAAGAGAAATGTTAGGGTAGCAAAAGCTATAAGCTCGTAGGACCCTCTGCAAACCCAAATAAAGAGCGCATAAATGTAACAGAAACTCTGTAGGACTGCCTTTTGTGTGTATTTACCGGGTCCCTTCTATGCAGTGGCATATATGCACGCGTTTCAATCTGTTTAGGCAAAGCAGCATGTGCATTTTGAAGCTTTTTTAGAGCACTTTTACTTCTGAAATCGCCGCGCATCGCGGAGAGCAGGGGGCCTTCCTATTTGCAGCTGCGGCAGGCAGTGAAACTGAAGCAAAACAAAAGAGGCGCATAATTGTTTTGAACTTAGCTTTAAAGACAACTAGTCGTATTTGCTCTACTTTACAGAAGTGAAGGTCCTGAGTAAAGACTCAGAGTCTCGTAAAGTGTTTTCATTGGCCCGCCTCATTTCCCTATTGCTGCATGCAGATGTTTCCCAGTGTCACTTCATCTTTGTGTCCGTTTGCTTCTATTTATTTTTAAAAAAGTACTCACCGCAACATACACCAAGTTGATATAGAGCACCAGCAGCATGAGAAAAAGCACAGGGAGGCAGCGCAACCACTGGCAAGAGCGGGACGGAGCCTTGCCGAAGGAAGACACATCATCTAGAAAGCTATCTTCTGCTGCATGATTTTCAACCGAATTTTTTGCTGGGGCGGGTGCTGCTGCTAAGGACCTTATCATTGGAGCTGGTGACGGCGTGCGGGGCTGCCTGCCTTTTCTCTCCCCCATTCCGTAAGCCGCGAGAGCCTCGGGCTCCCCCTCAGCTGAAGACTCCCATGGTTCTGCTGCTCGCTGCACATCTGCTGCAAGAAGTGCTGTGCGTTCACTGTCTTCAGCCTCAGCGGCAGCAGCCGCAGCTTCCGCAGCGGCTGCCTCGGCTGCTGCCGCCATCGTCGCCGCCGCCCGCTCTGCAGCTGTGGGAGGAGTTTCTTCATCTTTCATTCTGTCAGGTTCTGTGCTGCTGCTGTTGCTGCTGCAGTGCGCATCACCGATCCCTGCCTACCGCCGCAGAGGCCCCCGGGTCCCCCTGCCGTCCTGTAGTTGCCCCTCGAATCCTCTAGCTTCGTGTTTGGCATGCAAAATGAAAAGCTTTTCAAAAAGTGATTCAGTTGAATCTAAGTGGTCCTGCTTTTGCTCGCTTCCTTGGCGAGAAGACAGAGTGTCGTCGAGGGCGCAACAGAGCGGAGGGACTCAGCCAGCAGCAAGGGTCGCAAGATAAATTCGCTGCCTAATTTGTTTGTAGCCTGCAAAAATAGCTTAACCGTACAAAATAGTTCCCTTGTGCTACTTCAAATAGTTGAAGAGCCTAGTTTCGCTTGCAAACAGACTTCAGCCGATGCTGCAGGCCGATGTGTCGGTGGCGGCTGCTGCTGGTCTGTACGCCGTGAGGCTGCAGCAGCAGTTAACACTGTGCCAGCCAGTCTTTTCCCCCCAATAGAAGAAAAGATGAATATAAAAGGTTGAATTTTATCTGTGAAATGTTTTAGTTATGCTTATTTGAGTGAATAATCAGCACTACGGCTGGACAACAACAGTGCAACACTTCCTGCTGCAGGTGCTCATGATGACCGGCGGTCTCGTGCTGCTAATGCTACCTTCTGCTGCCACATTAGCCAGGAAGAGGGCTTAGTGGAAGCAAAAAATCATTTATTGCACAGCACAAACACATGAGCTCTCCAGGCGCTTTCCAAACATCCCCAACAAGGAGGAAGCCGACAGAATAGAGTCGAGTTAGCCACAGACCACCGGTCAATTCTCTTGCAACCAACAGCACAAGACATATCATATACATCTTTGCATCCATAAATTGAAACCCTCTGTGGCGATGGGCCAACAAATGCAAAGACCCACACCTACTTGTAAACTCGCGAACCCCTGGGGAGGTACAGCGCACTCCCGTGTCCCGCGTTTCAAATCGAATGTTGCTCCACTCAATCAACTACTGCTAATGAAATCTCTGCAACAACAGTCAAATGACTAATTCAGTTCCATCAGATAAATGAAACCGATTGGCAAAGAAAGAAGTGCGTACAGGCTCCTCCCGATACGCGAGGTTGCGTAAAGTGGAGTCCGACAAGCAGAATTCAAATAACCTGAGACAGAAATGCTGAAACTGTAATATTGATCTTCTTTCTGTGTATTTTTATTATCATGAAAGGTAACATCATGTGCAGACATCCCTGCCACATCCCCACTTCGGGTGATCAAGGCACCATCCGGACAACTGCAAGAACACCACTTCCATACCTGCTTACAGCGTACATATATATATATATATATATATTCATATATATATATATATATATGAATGCATTTGGCTGACAAGATGATGCCAGCAGCCAAGAATGCCCAGCTGAGGTGAAACTGCATTCTGTCAGCTCTTTCTAGTGCATTAGCGGTAGATCCTTCAGCATCCTGCGTATCCGAAACTAAATAGAAAATGGAGCATTGCCCCAGCCTCGTCAGCTCCGCCGGCGAAATACTTCATAAGTATAAATGCATTTGAGTGCACACCATCATACATGTAATTAATATTGTACATTGTGTATACATTACACATACACATTTCCTGCGGTGCAGCCACTACATACATGAATATGTACACATATATGCACTAGATGTACACTGACACGCATGCATGCACATACACACACGTATTCAGGTTGACTAAAGCCGCATGCATTCCTGGCGAGATCTACAGCTTTCTTTTCCTGAACTACTGCTACTGAAGGAGCTACATTTAGCGCGCTGACAGTTCAAACGCAAGAAACAATAATATGCTCACGAGTTCTACGAAATTCCCCATGCATGTCAAAGTGCATACATTGAGACGAAGAAGCGGCAAAAGGCAAAACTGGGGAAATGGGGAAGAAAGGCACACTACCCATTCGAGCCTCAAAATCAGCCAGCAGAAGCCTCCCCCATTGCTGCTGCTGCTGCCTCTACAGCTCCTGGCACAGCTGCTTTTCCTGCAGCAACTTTGCTGCTGCAATGTGTTTTGTGCTGCTACTGCTGCTGCTGCTGCTGCGAATGCAGCACGCCTTGCGGCTGCACATGCCGAGACCCAAGGAAGTAGTGCTCCTGCTGTGTACTGGCTCCGCTGGCCCCACACAGCCTCCCTTTGCAAACAGAAGTATAAAATAAATGAAGTTATTTGGCCTAAAAGTTGCCACATCTACGTCACAACCAAGAAAAGACAAGCAAATACCATATAGTCCACAAACAGCCAAGCAGAAGAAGAACATCTAGTTCTGAAGAAGCTGCCGGAAGCAAACAGCCAAGAACGCAAATGCGCTTTACGCCTTAAGAGGTTTCCTGCCTCTCTTCTCGCTGCTGCTGCTGCTGCTGCTGCTGCCTTTGCGACCTGCGCCTGGCTTCGTGGCCTTCGGGCTGCCCTTCGCTGCTGCAGCTGTCGCTGTTCTCTTGGATGCTTGTGTTTGTGGCTGCTGCTGCTGCTTCGTTGCAGCTTTCGAAACGGCTGCTGCGCTCTTGTTGCTGCTTCCTGAAGCGGCTTTTTTGGTCGCCGCAGCAGCGGGCTTCTTGCTGGCGCTGCTGCTGCTCTTGCTGCTGCTCCGTGCAGACGTTTGCTTTCCCCGCGCTGCTGCTGCAGCAGTATCCTTAGTAGACTTCCCACCTCGAGTTGCTTGAGTGCCTTTTTTCTTTATTTCCTTTTTGACAGCGGTAGGCTTTTTGGGGGCGGCAGCAGTTTTGCTCTTCGTCTTGGCTTTCGCTGCTGCAGTTGTTGCTGCCTTGCTGCTGCTGCTGCCGCCTCTGCTAGCAGCGACGTGGCCGCGGCCTGCCCCCTTTCTCCCTGTCTTGGCTACTTTTGCTGCCTTTGCTGTTGCAGCCTGTGCAGATCCCTTTGCTTTCTTAGTTGCAGCAGCAGCAGCAGGCTCGGACTTGGACGAAGCAGCACTTGCGGAGTCTTCATCAGCACTTTCGGGTGTACGTGCAGCAGCTTCTCCACGCGAAGTTTCTGCATCTTTGCTGCTGCTTCCGCTTTCCTCTTCATTGTCACTGGCCCCAGACGAGGCAGCAGCAGTTGCTGCTGCTTCTTTCACGGCTGTGGCTGCTTCTTTTGCTGCTGCTGCCGCTTCCTTTGCTGCTGCTGCAGCCTTTTCTGCAACAGCTACCTGGCGCGCAGTAGAACGGGCTGCAGCAGCTGCAGCAGGGCGCCCCTTGGTCTTTTTGCTGCCAGTGTCTGCCTTTTCTGATGCAGCCGAAGCTTCTCCTTCATGCTGTTGCTGCTGCTCCTTTTCTCCCGCTGCTGAGGCTCTCCGCCTCTGCTGCCGCTTTGCAGTAGCAGCCTTGCGTGGTTTCGTGGTACTGCTTGCTGCTGCTGCTGCTGCTGCGTCTTCTTCTTCAGCTTCCTCTTCTGCTTCTGTAGCGTTCGGCGGGGCTTCCGCTGCTGCAGCGGCCGTCGCAGCAGCAACAGCTGCCGCTTCTGCTGCGCTTGCTGCAATGTCAGCTGCTCCCGCGGCATCACTGGCAGCAGCAGCAGCACTCTCTGCTGCAGCAGCCGCTGTCTCAGCCGCAGCAGAAGCTGCAGCTGCTGCACTCGCCGCTGTTACCGCCGCCTCCAGCTTGTCGGCATTCTGCTGCTGCTCCTCTGCCTCAACGTCCATTTCCTCTATAGCGTTTTCCCGCTGCGCTGCTGCTTCTGGCTCTGCAGCAGACTTTGACGCTGCAGCAGCTGCTGCTGCATCTTCTTCTCGTGCTGCTCGAGAAGTGCTTCTGCTTCTGCTGCGGCTTCTGCTGCGGGCCTGAGAGTTCGTTGGCACTTCCAAAGAAGGTCGGCCTTCGCCCTCTACAGCAAAGCAGTGCGACAGCAAAAGAAACAGAAGAAGTGGCAGCAGCAGCACTGCAACACATCAGCAAAGCAGCAGCAGCAGCAACAGGAAAGCCTGAGGCAGGAAGTGCTGCAGCAAATGCTCACGCTTAGCCTTCTTGGACGGAGGTGCTGCGTCTTCTTCTGTTCCTTCTAGAGGCCGCTTCAGCTGCTGCTGCCCTTCGCCGTCCTCTGCTTCCTCAGCAGCAGCACACACCTCCTGCTCTGCAACTTGCTGCTGCTGTTGCTGCTGCTGCTGCTGCTGCTCGGCGTGGGCGCCGTCCCACACTAACACCGTGGAGTGCTGCGCTCCACCGCAAGCCTGCAGCAGCAACACTCAAATGCGCAGCAAGATAGAGAGCAGCAGAAGGCAGCAACAGGAAGCAGCAAAGTAAAAACAATCCGGAAAACTCTAAGACTGGCAGCCAGCCAATCATGCAGTTAAGAAAAACTAATTTCTCCTAATCCCGACCCATGTTTGGCCCTGGGGACGCGGGTCGGAGCTGCTGCTGCTGCTGCTGCGACTCCTGCTGCTGCTGCTGCTGCTGCAGCTACCTGAAGAACAAACTGTTCCTTGAACTGCTTGGGATCGATCCTGGCGGGAGAAGCAAGAAGAGTGGGATCGTCTCCCGTTCCCAGTTGGTAGTTTTGTCCCGCTCCCCAGGTGTACAGACACCCCGACACTGACACCGCAAGCGAGTGGTCGCTGCCGCAGCCAATCCACCGAAAACGCAAACCCTCTTTTCCCTCGCAAAGCGGCAGCAAACGGGGGCTTCCCGAAGGGACACAGGAGGTGGATCCGCGCCCTGCAGCAGCAGCAGCAGCAGCAGCAGCAGCAGCAGCCGCAGCAGCAGTGAAAGCGGCAGAGGATCAACACGGGAAACAACGGCCGCTCGGCCAGTCGAGCCAGCGCTTCCAGCTGGCTGCGCACAGCGAATCGGAAGCCACTGGACACAGCAGCAGCAGCAGCAGCAGCAGCAACAGCAGCAGCAGCAACGGCATACCCAGGAAGTTTTCTTGTCCCCAAGTGTATAATTTGCCTCCCTTTGTTAATGCCATCGTAAAGAACTGGCCCCCACAAACATACTTGAGGGGCCCCTCCTGCAGCAGCTGCACCCTCTTGAACTGGCACACCACTGCCTGCTGCTGCTCCTGCTGCTGCTCCTGCTGCTGCTGCTGCTGCCTCTGCTGCTGCGCAGGCCAGAGGCCCAGCTCGCCCTGAGTGTTGCGGCCGCAGCCAAAAAGAAGAGTCTCGTTTGCTGCTGCTGCTGCTCCTTCAGCAGCAACAAAAGTCGTGCAGCGGCCGCAGTAAACAGCTGTCAGCACCTTGACTTCCTCAGGAAGACCCAAGCTGCAGCAGCAGCAGCAGCAGCAGCAGCAGCCCCGTTGCAGCAGCAGCGCCGGAAAGCGCACGTGGCAGCAAGTCAGGGTCCAAAGGCAGCACAGCTGCTGCTGGCAGCAGCAAAAACAAACAGCACAAAACTTTCATTGAAAGTCTAGAAACTTGCCTTTCTATTGATCTTCTGGAAGGTTTGAGCAGCACTCTCTTCTCCTGCAGCGCCTCGTCAGTTGCTGCAGCCCCAGCAGCAGCTGCTGCAGTCGTGGCTGCGTCGCTGCTGGCGTCCAGCACTGCTGCAGCAGCAGCAGAAGCAGCAGCAGCAGCAGAACGAACTGCCAGCTGCCCAAAGTCGTTGCTGCCCCACAGCCACACGGCCTCCCCGCCCGCCTCCAGTGCTGCTGTGTGGTCTTCGCCGCAGGCCTGCAGCAGGCAGCAGCAAAAGCCAATTCAAGTAGCAGCAGCAGCAGCAGCAGCAGCAGCAGCAAAAGTCGAGACCGCGGCGCAGCAGACACAGATGCGTCCAGAGGACGAGAAAAAACGAAAAAGAAAAGGCAGACAGAATGGAAGCAATGGGATCCAAGCTGTCAGCTGAAAAGAGAAAAAGAAAATAAACAAGAGAAAAAGAAAATAAACAAAAAGAAATAAAAATAAAAAAGAAAAAAGAAAAACTTACAACTTGCGCTATTTTCACAGAAGACCCCAAAGCCCTAAAGATGCTCAAAGGCAAAAGCTGCCGGGGCTGCGCAGCGCGTTCGCCCAGGCACGCAAAACCCAGCGGGCCGCTCGAGTCCTGCAGCAGCAGCAGCAGCAGCAACAACAGCAGCAGCAGCAACAGCAGCAGCAGCAGCAAGATAAGAGGCAGCAACCGTCCTAGTGTCATCTACTTGAATGGGCAGTGCCACGTCTACTACTTGCCACAGTTCAAAGCCTTAGACCTGCTGCTGCCCGTACTGCTGCCGCCATTGCTGCTGCTGCTGCTGCTGCCATTGCTGCTGCTGCTGCCATTGCTGCTGCTGCTGCTGCTGCAGCTGTGGGCCTTACCCGGTAAGATCCGCACAGCAGCAGCTCCCCCTGCCGCGTCAAGAATGCAGAGTGGGAGTCCCCACAAGCCACAGCAGCAACGTCGGCCAGTTCAAGAACTCCTGCAGAGCCCCAGCAGCAGCAGCAGCAGCAGCAGCAGCAGCAGCAGCAACAGCATGCAAAAAAGCAAGCTGTGGAACGCAGCAGCCAAATACCAGCTGGCAAATGCAGACTGCAGCTGCAAAAGCAAGACAACCGGAAGCTGCAGCTGCAACAGCTGCAGCAGCAGCTGCTGCTGCAGCTGCTGCTGCAGCTGCTGCAGCAGCAGCAGCAGCAGCAGCAGCAAATAAGTACCTGGCTCATTTGGAGGCACGTCTTTGCAGTGCCTGCCCAGAGCTCCCTCGTCGTTACACCCGAAGGAGCAGCAGCGGCCATTGGCGAGCAGCAGCACAGTGTGCAGCGCCCCGCTGCAGGCCCTCACGACCTGCATTTGCTGCTGCTGCTGCTGCTGCTGCTGCTGCTGCTGCAGCGGGATGAGGCGCGGCAGCGTGACCTCGCCGCCGCCTTCTTCCTCGGGATTGAAAAAAGGAATCTGCTCAAGTTCTCCAGAACCAAACATGTAGACAAGGCCAGTGGGCTGGCCTTTGGCGAAGTCGGGGGAAGCCAAGCAAGTTGCTGCTTCCTGCTGCTGCTGCTGGCGCACCAGCTCCCGCTGCTGCTGCTGCTGCTGCTGCTGCTGCTCTTGCTGCTCCGCCGACTCGGCAGCAGCAGACGGCGCCGTGAACACAAACCCCTTCGGCTGCTGCTGCTGCTGCTCGCCAGCAGGTCCTCCAAAAACAAAGCCCTTCGGCTTGTGGGGCTGCTCCTGCTGCTGCTGCTGCTGCTGCTGCTGCTGCTGCTGGCTTGCCAGCGGGGAGGCTGCAGCAGCACCGTCGAGCACCGGCATGAATCCCGAACTCTTTCTGGGCCCTCCAGAAGCAGCAGCAGATGTTCCATTTCCTGCTGCTTCTAAGAAAACTGAGTTGCTGCCGTTGCTGCTTCTCGGAAAAGCCGCAGCCTTGGGGGCCTGCTGCACTAGTAGCAGCAGCACACAGCAGCAGCAGCAGCAACAGCAGCAGCAGCCCTGTCTAAGCCCAGCCACTCCCCCTGCTTCGTGCAGCTTTCACAGCAGCTAGCAAAGGTGCCCCCTTCCCCCACAAACGACACGAGAGGGACTACGGCTATTTTGCTGCTGCTGCTGCTGCTGCTGCTGCTGCTGCTGCTGTTGCTGCAGCTGCTGCTCACTGCCTTTCCATCTCTTCCTGTCTCGCAGCAGGGACACACATCACAGGAGGCCTCGTTAGAGACCAAGCAGACGCTGCACTTCCATGGGCCGGAAGGTGGCGCTCCATTAGCTGCTGCTGTTGCTGCTGCTGCTGCTGCTGCTGCTGCTGCTGCGCCAGCTGCCTCGGCGCCTGCTGCTGCTGGCGCACCCTCAGCAGCCACCGCTGCTGCACCTGGTGCAGCTGCCAAGGCCCCGTTTGTGGGCGGTTCGGGCTCTGCGCCCGTGGCCGCAGCAGTAGAGGCGTCCATTCTGCTGCTGCTGCTGCTGCTGCTGCTGCTGCTGCTGCACTTTCTGCTGCTGTTCCTACAAGTGCTGCCGCTGGCCTTTGGCTCAGGCAACGCAAATCCCGCTTTGGACGCAACGTGTGTTGTTGCTGCTGAGGGGCAGTGCTTTTGCTGCTCCCCCTGCAGCTCCCGTGATGGAGTCTGGCTGGGCAGCTGCTGCTGCTGCTGCTGCCAAGGCTTTGAGTGCAGCAACAGCTTCCTGCTGCTGCTGCAGCAAAAGATAAATGGGGCCCTTAGACGCGCGCGAGGAGGCCCAAGAGACCGCAGTGGGTCAGCAGCAGTGGCAAAGCCGCTGGATTTCAGCCCGTTGCTGCTGCTGCAGCAGCAGATATGTGCACTGTCTGCGGTGTACGTACACCTCTACAATTCGTAAAGGATCAGGCGGGAATCGGCGCCGTTCGGATTTATATAGGACGCCCTGGTGGTGTTGCTGCAGTGACTGTTGCTGCTGCTGCTGCTGCTGCTGCGGGGTGGGTGGCGGGCCAACTGCGGCTGCGAGTAGAGGCCCAAGCGGCGTCTTTGCGGGTTTAAATTCGAATATTCGTCGAAAATTCAATTATGGTTTGACTATTTTGACCCAAAGACACGAGAAACCCGACAGACTTCGAGCAGCACGAGGAACTGGAAACCCTAAACCCTCAGCTCCGCAGCTGGTGGATTCAAATCGAGGCTAGTGGACTCCAGTGTCTGTACACCTGGGAGTGCCGAGTTGCTGTTCTTTTTCTTTCCGCTATTTGCCGAAATTCACTTTTATTCCAATCTCGAGAATTCCACGAAGCCCTTCCGCCAGGCCCCTGCTGCGGTGCAGTGACGCCGCAGCAGCTACACACCACTGCAGCAGCAGCAGCAGCAGCAGCAGCAGCAGCAGCAGCAAACGCACACCTGAAGTTTGACCGCCTGCTGCACCTCAGCAGCAGCCTCTGTGGGGGCAGAAGCCGCAAGTGCACTGCGGCTCGGGTGTACGTACACTAGCGCATTTCACAGGCAACTCTGCAGAGCTGCGCCCAGTGGAGTACTTGTGCAGTAGTGCAGCAGCAGCAGCAGCAGCAGCAGCAGCAGCAGCAGCAGCAGCAACAAAGCTGCAGCACACCTGACTGGCACTCGTAGCAGCAGCACTTTAGTTTCCTTTTGATTAGTTAGAAAGGACTTTCGAGTTTCATCAAGTGCAAATAGCCAAACAGGCCTCTGTAGAGCAGCCCCTGGGGGCAGCACGCTGCTGCTTTTGCTGCTGCAGCTGCAGCAGCAGCACAAGCTGCTGCTGCAGCTGCAGGGGCAGCAGCAGCACAAGCTGCTGCTGCAGCCTTGCCTGCAGGTAGTCTTGGGGGGCCCCCCGGGCCTTCCCTGAGCCTTCGGGGGCCCCACAGACCTTAAAAGCCCTTCTTATGAAGTGGGGGAAATGTCTCTGACAGATTGCATGCAAAGAGCTTCTCGAGTGCATCTTTTTGGAAATAGATTTATTCCAAATGGACTTCTTGTGTGGCTCCTGGCGCATGCACAGGAGGCGAAGGCAGCAGCTGTTTGCATGCATGCAGCTGCTGCAATCTACATTTGTCTTTCTTTGGGAAATCCCCACATGACATAAATACCATTTTAGCCATTTTCCCTTCTTTTGCTCAGCCCCGGGCTGGCAAGAGGCGCCCTCGGAAACGAACAAAGACTTGAAATGCATGCGCATGCATTTCAAGTCTTGCATGCATTTCATGCATGCGCATGCATGCGTTGCATGCGTTGCATGCATGCGTTTCATGCATGTGCTTCATGCATGCGCATGCATGCGTTGCGTGCATGCACTTCATGCATGTGCTTCAGGCATGCGCATGCATGCATGCATGCACATGCATGCATGCGCATGCACGCGACCCCCGCGTGGCCGGGAAGCCCCGAGTTTCGCGCTGCTGCTGCTGCTGCTGCTGCTGCTGCTGCTGCTGCTGCTGCTGCTGCTGCTGCTGCTGCTGCTGCTGCTGCTGCTGCTGCT